GGTTTTTGTACTCCAAGAACATCTTTGCAGAACATCTTAGGATTTCCATTTTTTGGCAGAGGAAAGAAGAAAAACGAACATTCACTGATGAACTTGTCGGTTGTCTTGGTGTACATCAACTCAATATCAGAGCCCTGTTTGTTTTTAGTGGCGCTCTGGCAAACAAACCATAGGTAATGTGCTTGCGACATAATCTGCATCGACGAAGTATACGTTACCGTCTTTGCCATTACGAAAGTGGCTGACTTAACTATCAAATAAGGAAATATGCATATTATTAATAAATATAGGTCATAAGTATAGGTTGAGGTTACTAACCCTATCCATGGTGGTTACTAAGTCCGTTTTTCATTTAAAAAACGATCGTTCTGAGCAGCCTGTCAGTATGAAATGGTCCATTTCTTAGAACTGCACAAACGCGGCCCGAACCAGTTCTAAAAACTGATGGGTACTATTTGAGAACTGGGCGATCGGACCAATCAGTTCGACTTAATGGACAGCGTCCTAAACCTGTTCGTTGTTGTAACTGCTATTCATTTGAACAACCGCTATAAATCTCGCGTTCTGATTAGTTGGGAGCGCGTGCTTTATGATAGCACACGGTACGCGCGCGCACTTTCAGTTGCGTCATTACTATTCAAAATAACGGTTATTTTCAATTGTATTTTATAAAAGAAATAAAAAACGTGCTTGCTGTGCTGTGTGGAGTTAAAAAGCACTTGGGGATTGACAGAAAATTTGAGATGTGTCGAGAAGCACTCCACTACGTGTCGTGCTTCTCCTAACACATCTCTCGCGTTCTGCTAACCCCAGCGTGCTTTATAAGTACACAAAGTACGCGCGCGCGTTTTCTATTTCTTCACCAGTTAATTACCAAACTGAGTGGTTCCATCGTTTGGAGCCAACACAATTTTGTAGTTTTTTTGCGCCAGGTAATAACCAGGTGAACAAGCAGACTCAAATGATAAAGTAATTTTTCCGAATGGTGATTTCTTGAATCCCCGAACAACTTTGAAGCTGTGGCACCCAGATGCTAATACAATACGGCTCTTCACCGAACGGAAACACGTGTTCAGTGTACCATTAGTCTGAATATCAGG